TCGGCCTTAATACCAATTGATACTCAGAGAGTCAAATCTGCTCAAACTTACTCTAAAACATCACTTGGTGTAGTTTTCAATTGTTTTGTTTTCCATCCATGAAGCATGAAATCTCTGGCAGGATTCCAGAGTCCACTCGTAAGCCAGTCATCTCTAGACCAACCAGTTCCTTTTTTCATTATCCGAATATTTCCGAAATCAGTTCTAGAGCCAAGAATTCCTCTGATACATCCAGTATATGCAGAAAGATCTGCAGAATTCCAAGAGTTGTAATATACTTTACGGCAGGTATCAACTTCTAAATCTCCCGGGAATATTTTATCTGCGAGAAACAGATGAATGCACCATTGTCTGACCCATGAGCTCCTTTTGGGAGTTTCTGTTCGAAGTTGGAAAATTCTAAAAAATAGATTAAAATCTGCAAAGATTTTTAAAAAGTTCACCAGTTAGAAAGTCAATTGAGAATTTTGAATTCTTGACAATATATGAACCAGCCATTACTTCCCAATTGAAAAGTCGATCGTAAAATATAAGATCAAACTGGCTATCCATAAATTCTTCTAATCTTCTTCTTGGATTTACAACTCCATGATCTGCGTCTATGAACAATACAACATCATAAGAAGGAAGAATGTAAGAAACTACACAATGTCAACGGAAGAATTTCTGGAATAAACCGAATCGATTGAAACAATGTGTTACTTTTTTAGTTTACATTTTTCTGATGACAGCTATAATTTGAGTCAAAACTAAATTGAAGTCATAGTTTTGTGCTCTAGCGTAGCATTCAACACTTTCTGAAATGTGAAATATAACTATTTTCATTCTAAATAAAGTACTGATGGCCACTTCATAGTCTTGAGGGTTCGTATCATTTGTGAGAACAATAACAATTCCGATATTCAAGGTTTTTGGAGAGCTCTGAAACCCGTTCTTTAAATGATAAGGTTTTAGAAGTACAGTGAAACCCGTTCTTTAAATGATAAGGTTTTAGAAGTACATTTTAATCTATTTTTTAGAATTTTCCAACTTCGAACAGAAACTCCCAAAAGGAGCTCATGGGTCAGACAATGGTGCATTCATCTGTTTCTCGCAGATAAAATATTCCCGGGAGATTTAGAAGTTGATACCTGCCGTAAAGTATATTACAACTCTTGGAATTCTGCAGATCTTTCTGCATATACTGGATGTATCAGAGGAATTCTTGGCTCTAGAACTGATTTCGGAAATATTCGGATAATGAAAAAAGGAACTGGTTGGTCTAGAGATGACTGGCTTACGAGTGGACTCTGGAATCCTGCCAGAGATTTCATGCTTCATGGATGGAAAACAAAACAATTGAAAACTACACCAAGTGATGTTTTAGAGTAAGTTTGAGCAGATTTGACTCTCTGAGTATCAATTGGTATTAAGGCCGATTCCCATGAACTACGATCAATGGTATAATCCACTAGCAAGGCCAATTGTAGTGGAAAGATGTTTTATAGGGTAAGATTGAAATTGATGAGTTGGATAATGAATTTTTGATTTCAGAAACACATCTTGGTCATACTCTCCTCGTGTCCTTGGTGATCGGAAACAAATTGATGAATTACTGATGGAATATGCTAGAAAAGTTGATAAAGAAAAAGCAAAATCATTGGGTAGATTACCCCTTATTCTAGAAAATCCCTAATTTAATTCTTTAAAGTTTGATCTAAAACTAAAAATGTTATGTAAGACTTTGGAATCCTAAAATTAAATTCCGACAGAAACAAGTCCATTTTTGAATTCGTTTCAAAATTAAAAACTCT